TAGATTTCAAAAATCTATCACTTTCGTATAATAAATTCCTATTGAAAAGTGATATTTATTCATGTAACAATACATTCATATTAAAAAAATTGCCTAATTGTTTTTATTATGGGTCTACATATATGTTTGATTTAATTAGTTGACTGACTACCCCATTTGCCATGCTGCTCAAGCTATGGCTCAAACTATGGCTTTAGTAGTTATTGCTAGAAATGTAACACTCTAATAGCATTAATTGATATTTGTAATTAGTATATAGAATTGAATTATATATATATAAGCTAATTTTTTTAAAAATACTGCTCTATATTATTCTTTTATAAATAATTTATTATATTTGTAATAGGTTTATTTATATATTGAGTATAAATACTAGTTCTACTAAAGTAAAAAAATAATTTTTATTCATTTAAACAAAATTTTACATTGTATTTTCAAAACTTAGTTTGTAATAAAATTTTAGTTTATATATAAAAAAATTATTAATCAAGTTAAAAATATTATTCAAGCTAAAAATATTGATTGAGTTAAAATTATTATTAAGTCAAAAATTATTATAAGTCGAAAATATTGATATTAAGGGATAGTATTTTTTACCTCTTTGTATATCTTTAGGAAAAAAGGATCAGTATAGATCAGTATCCCTAAAAAGTTTACTTAGAGGGCAAATTTAGATGAGTAGTATAAGATGATTAGAAGTTAACAAGTTATAAAACTTATTTTTTGCTTTCAAAAAATTATTTTTAACAAAAAATTTATGAAAGTTAGGATGTTTACAAGCAGCTCCCTTATGTGATTAGCTAGTATCATTCAAAAATTATAAATACTGATCTTAAATAGCCAATTAAAAGTAGTTAGCCGAAGCTAGTTGAATTTGGTTGAATTTGGTTTAATACTCTATCTTTGTTCAAACCAAACTAGTTGAGCTGGTTATTATAAAGTCAATCTTAAGTACCCTTTGTGAAATGCAATTTACTTATTTCTCACTTTACAGACATTTGGAACCAACAATATCTGAAAGAAAAAAATTGAAATGGATAAAATAGACTGTTTATTTATTTCTAAGTATGAACTTTTTTGGCTAGTATAGTTTTCTTCGCCATATCTAATATCAATATATAGAAATTTATCAAATAAATTCTTACCAGATTCTAGTAAAATGGAATATGCTAATGGAATACTTCAAGTTGGCAACTGTTATCTTTATAGATTTGAAACTGAAAGAGATGAATGCCAGGCATTTATTTGGTATGAAAAATCGGCAGCAAAAGAAAACACTTCATGCTTTGATATTGTTATGAATATGGAATTGAAGTTGCAAAATGAATAACTCTAATAGAATGTATCAAGTTGCCCATTGTTATTATTTAGAAATTGGTGTTGAAATCGATAAGCATAAGGTATTTACATATTATTTAAAATCTGCTAAGGCCGGTAATTCTATGATAGAATTAGCTAATTCCTTATATAGCTGTTCTTATAAATTCTGGAACAAACTGAAATTTTCTCGTTTTCTGAAATCTCTTTGGGTTTATTCTATAAATTATTTAACTTGCCGAAAATACATTGCTATCCCCAGACTGAAATTCCAAAGATAATGATATGATTCTGAAGAGTTAGATAATCTTTAAAATGAAACCGAAAAGATTTCAGAAAATGACAAACTTTTAGTCTGTTCTAAAATATATAAGAACAGCTATAAATATTCAATTATCAAGTAAGCCTTTATTACTTATATCTAGTTCCTTTATAGTCTTATCGAAAAAGTTTTTCTCTAAATATTTTTGAGCTTTAATATTGGTTGGTGCAGTAAAACTATATCGGCAAAACAATTACAAGATCATAAATACCTACTTACTATTTCATTTTATTCACATTAATCTAGTCAGTAGAAAGATATATATATATATATGGTATTATCTTTCACTTTATCAACATCATATCCAAATTGGGATTTACCAAATAAGTATCAACTTTGTTTTTTTTTTTTTATTCTTATTTTACCAAAATGTGTCGCCTATTGCTATGTTTTTTCTTTATTCATTTTTTGCTACTGCATTGATGATTTTTGTTATTTCAATTATAATGTTAATACCTGCTACTTTCATTGCAATAATTTACATATTTATTGGAGTATATTATATCACCATATCCAGAGATTTAAAACGTAAGTTATCGTATTGTGGGTAAAAAAATATTGGTATAGTAGTATGGGTGTGATTGGATCAAATATCTGTCAGGAATATATGGGTAGCCCATATATCTCTGTCTTAGCTTAGATTTTATTATATCATTTTATCCATTACTTATATCTGTATCCTGCATATATATAAAGACTATAATAGATGTACACCTCACCCATAATGCCTTTGTTTTGGAAAGCGGTAATCTTGGCTAGATTAGCTCCACTTAAATTATCATCTTGGTTTCAGTTGCAGCTAGTGCAGTTGTTATAAATGCGTTGGGCTTTAAATTGAGTGGTAAAGTTAGCATTGTTGGCTGCAGTAGCTCTAGTTAAGACCTTCATAGCCAAATTATCAAAACCGTCATTGATTACGGTTTTGTTAACTTTGGCTCAAGCTAGACCTTTCAGGCTTTTATTGTTGGTAGCTACTATCAGAGCATTTGGTGCCGGAAAAAAATTAATGAAAAGGATATTGCATCTCGTAGATAACAATAATCGACTATTTATATTTAATTAGGCATATAACTGATGGCTCTATACTCGTATTGATATCGCAGGTGCTAGTTAAGCTTTCCACTACTACTATTATTATATATAATCTTTCCAAAGGATAGATCCTGGTTTAGCAGGTTTTGCATTGATAAATGCATTAAATTTCACTGGGCATGTAATTTGGGTTATTCATATATATGCTATTCAGAAGATGAACATGAATTCAAGTAAGTTCTTAATTTTGTATACTTATAGTATGTAAAAAAAAATTTTCATACTCTAATTACTTGCGATCTTTGCTAAGAAAATCACTCTTCAGGGTTTTTCGATTGGGCTAATTCAGAAAAGTTTAGACCAAAATGCCAGTTTTTATTTATATGTAAATTGCCTTTGCTTTGTTTATTCTATAGTTTATTAAATAGACTGTTGAATTAGTAAAGTAAAAAGACAGTTTATATATAAATAAAAACTAACATTTTGGTCTAAACTTTTCTAAATTGGCCTGATTAGAAAATTCCAAAGAATGATTTTCCTAGCAAAGATCTCACTTGTTATATCTAATTTTCTAGTTAAAATAATCTATTTAGGACTAAATTATGCTAAGTTACAAATAGGTAAAAGTTGAACTAGAGATTGGAGCTAGTGAGTTTTAAACATTAATTGATTACAAACTCTAGAATTTCAAGCATCGGTAAAAAAATTTTGACTGATGTTCGAATATTTAATAAATTTTTAATTGTACTACTATCACTATATTTTCAATATATAATTTATCAATTATATAATTATTTTATTATTATCAAAGTTAAATTTCAATCAGAAAATGTAATATTATATTATCATTATCATAATATTCACTGATGCTCAATGATAACCGAATTAAAAACTTTGTGAATAAAGCTTATTTTCAATGCTCAAAATTTTTGATCAATGATTGAATAATTAGTTTCCAGTTCCAATTTCTAAGCTGAACATGAGGGTAGAAAACTCTTATGATTATAAGTATAGGACTATTCATTTTGTCTTGAGGTGGAATAATAATAATGACATAATAATGGCTAAATGCAAGGATTTGTGTGGAGTTGAATGGGGACTCTTTTTAACAACATTGTATTCTTTTTTATATGTCTTGTGTTTTCAGTATTGTATTTTTATTTTACTAATGTTTTGTTCTAAGATCAGGACATATATAAAGAGGTATGAGATGTGAAACATATGAGACTATGCATATTGGGCATTGGTATGGAGAACAATTACAATCTTATAGGAGAGTATTGAGCGAAGTGTATAAAGAACCACCCTAGTATTGTCCAAAAATTAGTTATATAATAGTAATTAATTGACAAATTAATGTACAATAATTTAAATACCACAAATATAAAATACTTTTATTATAAAACTTCATATATTAATAAAAGATAAATTACAAATTTAATTTTAGAAAAGTTGTATTTATAACACCTTATATTATATCTCAAAAACATACTAAGTAAATAGGATTGGCACTGGTCAAATATATGAAAATCGACTAGCTGAATGTTAAATAAATATTAACCTAAAAAAAATTCAAAATTGGCTATATAAAAAAAAAATCAACCCAACTTCGGATATATTAAAAAATACGATCTAAAAAAGAAAAAAAATCAGATACCAATACGTAGTCGAATTTATTTACTAAAAAAAAATTTGAACGAATATCAATATATGTATAATTTATAAGGTAATCAGCAGTCAAATTACGGATGTGAATGACAATCGGCAGTCAAATTGTAAATATTAATCGACAGTCAAATTATGACCATCTTCTTATAAAAGGTACTATGATGACTTGTGAATATTAAATCTTTAAACTTTATAATTCAAAGATCTTTCATTTAAAGTTAACTTCTCTAATATACTTACTTTAAATTAGCTTAGTTGAATATAGTGGCGACATTGCAATAAAAATTTAGATAAGAGAAGTATTTATTAGCTTGCTTTTTTTTTCAAAAAATTGCACTTGAGATTATAGTTTAGATTAGTGAAAAATCGAAAACTTGGTACTAGTTTTTTTTTATCTTGTTTGTTTTTTACTTCAAATAAGTTTAACAAGCTCTTTTTTATTATATTTCTCTATTTGAAATATAAACAAAAAACTTGGCAAATAAAGGAAATTAAGTCAAGCAAAAAGTACCAATTTCATTTACTTATATATTCAAATTTTTTTTTTTTTTTAAACAGAGCTAATACTTTTTTTTTGTCGATCTGGAACATGAATTGGAAACTGACAAGTAAAGATCAGTTTGTGTAAAAAATTAGAGCTAAAATGAATGAAAGTACAAGATTCTGTATTGTAGTTGATTTTTTTTTTTCTTTAGGTTAATATTTTTTTTCGTTAGTCTTTTCTTCACTGGAAACTGACAAATAAAGATTGGATCATATAAAAAATTAGAGCTAAAATGAATGAAAGTATTTAAATTTTTTTTCTCCTTTCTTACTAGAATGTAAACTAGAAGCTAATAATTAGAGATTTGGATTGTAAATAAAAGTACAAAATTTTATACTGTGTTTAATTTTTTTCAAATAAGAATTAATAATCTCTTCTCTTTTATAGATTTTTTTTTATTAAAATGCAGACTAAAAACTTAGCAGTGGACTCGAATTGGGCTAATTCTCTTACTAGATTATCATATATTTTAATTGATTATAGAGTGGTATATATAGGTCGAATGAAGGCAAATCGGACTCTATAGAGCTAATGGCATTTCAATATGTATAGAATATCTATATAGTATAAATCTGATTTGTATTTTAAAGGTCTCCTAATATCTGTTTCAAATCAGATTCATATTGGAATTATATGATGCCAGTTGGAGCCCGATTCGCCTTCATTCGACCTATAATAGTTCTTGTATAATAATGAGTTGCGAGTTTATTTGCAGGCAGTTTCTAAATTAGTAGATAAATTTTGTAT